TGCTGCTTGGCCTGCTGTGTTCATCCAGCCCTGCACCTTGTTGTCTCGGATTCTCCAGCATCTGCAGTTCCTACTATCTCTGATTCAAATAAATCAGTGTTGGTACCATTAAAATGTAATAACTAATAGACTTTTTACTTGAAATATTACTTTATAGTGAAACCTTATTCCAGGCAACTGGTGGTACCAAGTTGACTTAAATCATGTTTAGTTGATTGAAATTATTCAGTCAGTTTATTTATCAAGAGGATATTCCAGTTGATGAAAGTACAAGCATTTCTTAAAATTGAGAATGATTTGGCTGAAAATGGTGGTGATGCCTGGCAGTTGGGAGTAGTGTGTTACCAATTGCTGACGAATGATACGATCTCTTCCATGGGCAGTTGCCAGTAAATATTTCAAGCTGTGCTGGAATGCAGACTAGCCATTCTGAAGCTGATGCTTATCTGGGATGTGCTTCACTACTCCTGCTGATCAGCCAGCTGCTGCTGCGAAACTTGGTTTAGGAAAAGCTGCAACGTTTCCGATGGGAAATCTTCGTCAATGAACTGAATATGATTTGGCAATGTGCAGCACAGATTTTCTATCCCATCACATTTCGAAAAGCAGTAGGTTGAAATTTTGTGAAATGTAAGTAGACCAGTGGTCTGATCACTTCAGTGTACTCAATGCAGAAATAAACTTCACAACATTAACCTTTTGCACCAAATTTCTTAGTACTTTAAATACTAGTTCTTGAGAGTAATTATTTTAATTCTTAACTTTTTCAAAAAAAAATTGACAAGTTGGCAGATTTGTTTCCTTAAATTTATGCTTTGTACCAGAAAAGTGAATTTTTCAGTATCTTGCACACTGTACTTTAATTTAACTTTTTCCAGTAAAATTCTCTGCAGAATTTTTGGGCTTTTCTCACTTGGAGAGCAGTCTTGGATGTTTATGTAGCAATTATTTATTTGTCATTGCATTTGAAATATAGGGAAGAAGCAGAGTTAATTATTCTAAATTGGAGTTAGCATCTTTAAATCAGATATCAGTTGTTATTGCTTGAACTTTCTTCAGTCTGCACAGTATAATGGATTCATGAATCCCATTGTGCAAATAACTTTTAACCTTGGAAGAAGATCAGTGAATTATTGTTTTTTTTAAATTTAAATTTAGCTTTTTGCTACAAATGGGCATGTACAATAGATCAAATCCTTCATGGGACTGACCTTGGTGCAATTTTGTTTTAACAAAGAGTTAATCAAACAAGCCTGATTTAACAGGTTGTAAAAGTTTTTAAATCAAAATTAAACTCCACAATTATGAGAATTCTAGATGACACCATCACTGTGGAGTAAGTATTGTAGATGTCTCTCGATTTTATAATGCAGAGTGAGTGTGTGGCTCTCGAAGTGCTCCATTTGTGGCTTAAACCTGAAGCATTCTTGTGTTGTTACCCCAGTTACAATTCACTTGCAGAAAATGGGCATTAATGTGTAGAAGGGGAGTCTTATCAAATCCTACATGTAGTGTAGGAACAAATTTACTGCAGGTGCTGGAATATGACTACATGTTGTGAGCAATGAATTCAATGAAATTCAAGCAATAACAACTGATATCTGATTAAAAGAGGCTAACTCCAATTTACAATAATTAACTCTGTTTCTTCCCTTTTTTTCAAATGCAATGACAAATAAATAATTGCTACATCGAGCCAAGACTGCTCTCCAATTGACAAAGCCCAAGAATTCTGTGGAGAATTGCCCAGGAAAAGAGTTAAATATGAATATTTAATTTTAAAATAGTGTGCAGGATACTGAAAAATTCACTTTTCTGGTGCAGAGCATAAACTTACGGAAACAATCTGTCAAGCATGGCAACATTTTTGAAAAAGTTAACATTTGAAATAATTGCACTTGAGAACTACATGTAACGCAGTCTTTTTCACTAGTAAGAGGTTTGGTTTTCTCTGCGGTTGGCCAAAAAGAGACTGAACAGCTATTAATCCTAATGCATTAGCCTTACCATTGGAACAGTTCTTTAACAGGATGGTTATTTCACAAACCTGACTATGCAGGAAGTTTTGAACAAATAGCTTGCTATATCTGTGGGAAAAATTATGAAAAAAAAATGGAAGGAGCCATTTTAGAACTTCTGATTTTAAATATTAGAGACTTGAAGTAAGCTCTTAACCCTTTTGCTTCCCTTTCTCACCATTTTGTATATTAAATTAATGGAAGCCAGAATAATACTTTCAAAAATAAACGGTACAGAATATAGCAATTATCTCAAAGAAAAATTCTAAAATGGAAATGTGGTTTCATCAAAAGTGTTAGTTTTGTTGGGATCAAGTTGGAATGGAGACAGAGTGTGAAATATTTCTTTGTTTAAGAATTTTAAATCAAAGAACAATATAGCACAGGAACAGGCCATTCAGCCCACCAAGCCTGCTCCGATTCCTAGTCCATATTTAGACCTACTTATTGCCCATATGTGGTTTCTAACCCTCTTGTCGCCTCCTGTTCATGTGTCTATCAAGATGCTCCTTAAGTGTTGCTAATACATCTGCTTCCATCACTACCACTGGTAGTACATTCCAGGCACACTCCACCCTCTGTGAGGGGAAAAATTCTCCCCTAAACTTTTTTTTCCTCTTACCTTGAGCTGTGCCCTCTTTTAGTTGACCTTTCCTACCCTGCGAAAAAGCCTCTGACTATCCAATCTATCTATGTCTCTCATACTTTTGTAGACCTCTATCAGATTGCCCCTCTGCCTCCATCTTTCCAGGGAAAACAGTTTATTCAACATCTCCTCATAAAAACCCTCCAAACCAGCCAACAACCTTCTCTGCACCCTCTAAAGTGTCCATATCCTCCTGGTAGTGTGGTGATCAGAACTGCACACAATATTCCAGATGTGGCCTAACTGACGTTTGTTACAACTGTAACATACATTGCTTCTGACAAAGTATAGGCAAGTTATTTTGCAGTAATCTATTCGAAATGTGGGTTAGGTTCGATACGTCCTTTTGTTAATATATTGTGTGATATTAAACAGTACTATGTTCAAAATTTTCACAATTATTTTTAATATTTACATTTCTAGGTCTTATTTTGCATTAGCTCATGAACCACAATGCCTTTAGTAACAAGGAACATTGAACCGAGGTATCTGTGCCGCCAGCCTCTGCCTAATAATGTTCAAAGTGAATTGGAATGCGTGACAAATATCACACTTGCAAATGTCATCAGACAACTTGGCAGCTTGAGTAAGTATTATTTAGCCTGTCTCTTTTTTTAATTTTTAGAGAGCTCATTTTCTAGATATGTAAAGCTTTGCTTAGAAGTTGTTATTGAGTCTCTTTGTCAGAATGCGCCAGATTTAAATTGTAACCTGGTGTCTATTTGATTTTTCTTTTTTCATTTGCTACAACCTGCTACTCAGTGTTTGCTGGAAATCTCTATGAAATGTGAGACTGCAGTATTCAATTGTCTATCAGCAAAAGGTCAAGTTTTATTTAATTCGCTGAAAACCTCATATACACTGTCTGCAACAATGAAGGGGCTCAAGTATGATCTCTGGATATTTCTTTTTTTCACTCATTCACTCATTCACTCATTCACTCATTCACTCATTCACTCATTCACTCATTCACTCATTCACTC